TAGCAAGAGGTGCGGGGGAGTCGCCTTCCTTCCCGCCTAGTGGGACCCAAGTCAGGCTGTCTTTGTTAGCCAGGATCAAAGGGGCTCTGCCAGGGAAAAACGACGGCAAGAGGGAGGAAGTCTCCAGCCACATGTGACCTTATGAAATCCGTCTGGGCCAAAAAGATAGTGGACGCTTGGCTGAGGGCCCCAGGGACACAGGTTTCCTCCTGTAAGGAGGAGGCGGGACTCTTCATAAAATTACACTGCACACAGAGCTAGCATCAAGGTCCACTCCCGGGCTACACACACAGCTCCGAGGCCCTCAGGCGCAGACCCAGACCCCGCGAGGGGCGTCAAGTGCAGGCACACTACCGCGGAGGCTGGAGCCCGGCCTCGGGGCGGGGCGAGGGCCAGTCACGTGTGTCCGCTGCCGTCTCCTCGATTTCCCTACAAGGACTTGGGCCGACGGGCCCCGCCCTTCGCCGTGCCCTGGAATGTGCGACCAAGCAAAGCCACAGCACGGACGCAACCATCTGCGGAAAAGATAGGGGGGAGGAAGACTTAACACTGCAACAAGAGTTACAAAAAAGACGGAAACTCAGTGAACAGGACCCAGCGAACCATGATATATTGCTTTATACTCTAGGTCGCCCACTTTAGGCTTCCTTCTCGTGCACCTGGTCAATACCGCGCTCGCTGACCACACTGGCGACTTCCCTCCATGTCGCCCCTCCGAGAAGTCTGGCCCACTCTGCGGGCCAAGAAAGGTGACCGGGCTTCCTTCCGGCTTGCTAAGCGGAGGCCGGAAGCGGTGGTTTTTAGCGGCTCTCTGGGTAGTAGGGTGGTGTAGTAGCGGCAGCGAGGGGCTCGCAGAGGTACTCGGATTCTCGTAGCTGTGCCGGGTGAGTGGCACTCGCGTTCGGGCGCGGGACACCCATCCCGGGGACCCGTCTCCGCGAGGCAGCTGGAGGGCGGCGGGGCTCCTGGCGCCGGGAGCGCACCTGGGCAGGTGTGCCACCCAGGTCCCCGGTTGTGGGATCCGAAGCCATGGCTGGGAGTGGCCCAGACCGAACTTCGCTCCGGTGCCCAAACTTGGAGCCCGGGAAATGCGGCTTCGCTCACTGGCGCCTTGATCTTGGGCGACTGCCGGGCCCGCGAAACCCGACCCCTGCAGAGCTGATCCCGGGACTATTTTTGTTTCTAACGTCAACTTGCCCGATTCAAGAGGGTTTGCGCAAAAAACGTAGCCCATTGTCCCCCCGCTGCAGCTGTTGCAGCTGTGTGGCTACATTTAGTAGGAATAACCAACTCAAATTGGGAAGTTCTTCAACTCAGTACCCGCTTCTGTAATTAGAACATTTTTTCTTTAAGCGATGAAATTTTGGACAAAGAGATCTGGAGTTTAGTTTGTGGCTCCAGGAAAAACTCCAAAATATAATGCCTTGTCCCATGTGGGGGGAAAGTTTGGGCTAATTCAATTCTCCATGGAAGTGTTTTCTTTCAAAGTAGTTTAGTAGGTATATGAATGTATCTATCAATTTCTTGAGAGACCTATGGGTTTAGCAGAGATTTTAACTTAAGTGCAAAAAGTTTTATATCTAAAGGCGAATAAAGCGAATATTTCTTAAAATTATTGGTATTTGTTTCATGTTCTGGAAGGGCTCTGATAAACGGTCATCAGAAAAGCACTTTATTTTCAAAAGCGAGGCTTTACTGGCAAGTCAGCCCTAACAGCCAATTTTCTGTCCAGTGGTGAGAACTTTTGGGTGTGGCAGTCCTAGAGAACGAATCCTACCTTCAACCGGAAGTTTGCATAAGAAATGAAAACTTGGTTTACTTGGAACGGAAGCACTAACTTGAAAATACACTTTTTAAAAATTGCGGTTAGCACCAGAAAATAAATTACACTTTTTTTTTTAAGTGCATTGATTAAATGAGGCGGTGTATTTGTTCAGGGGTTAAAAAGCCGACCAAATGATAGGTGCTATCACACTACGCAGTGTTTTGTAAGATGGTAGTTTTTTCTTGAAAAATATCTGATATTTCTCAGAATATTATCAATCTGAGTGTTCGTTTTGTAGAAAAAGTTTCTAGGTTATTTTACATTTATTGCCAGTTTGTAAATGCTGGACTCTAGGGTTCTAACCAGAGCACTCTAATGTATATATTGGTATGGATTAATCCCATTTTATAAGTGAATGTAGTTTCTAGAGATCTGAAAAATCTTCTCGTGTCCTTTGGTGTGTGGGGAAAGCCACTTTGAGAATCTGTTCTATTTCTGCCACCTATTAATCTAGTCTAACATTTTCTTTAATTGTGTTGTGTATCTCGTTATAGCCCATAATGATTCTGAGTTAAAACACAAAATAAAAAACAGATTCATTGCCACCAGCGTTCACCTCCCCTGACTTAAAAAAAGGTTATGCTCCTTTAGATTAATCTGTAAACTCAGTCTCCTGACTGCCCTTCATTCACTTTCTCATGCTTCTGAAATCCTCTTATATTTTATAGAAGCCTGTTCTTAAGTCTCCTTGCTTTACAGTTTCATACAACATATACTCCTTCACACCAAAGATCTTTCATTTAATCCTTCAAAAATAAAGACTCAGGCCGGGTGCGGTGGCTCACGCCTGAAATCCCAGCACTTTGGGTGACTGAGGCAGGTGGATCACGAGGTCAGGAGTTCAAGACCAGCCTGGCCAAGGTGGGTGAAACCCCGTCTCTAACAAAAATACAAAAATTAGCCAGGCGTGGTGGGGGGCATCTGTAATCCCAGCTACTCCGGAGGCTGAGGCAGAGAATTGCTTGAACCCTGGAGGTAGAGGTTGAGATGCGCCACCGCACTCCAGCCTGGGCGACAGAGCGAGACTCCATCTCAAAAATAAATAAATAAACAAATATAAATAAATCAAGACTCGACTTTATGATTGAAGAGCTTTCGTAACTTGGAAACCTCAGGTCCTTACCTGGCGATCTTTGCATCCTAAATAACTACACTGACATGAAATCTTTTCAATTTATTTTACCCTAGCTTGCTTTTTGCAAAAAGCAATTTCAACTTTTTTAGATTAAGGAGTATACCCTAGTTTTCTAAACTTAGATGAGAGTTGTGCATTTGCTGAAGGCTTATTACGTGAAGAGTGATAGTCTCCATTGTTTGCGGGAAAGTAAAATGAACAGCAAACTAGAATAATAGCAAAGAGGACCCTGACAATATCAGAAATGATCTGCTCCTTGAGATCATAGCACTGTTCCTGATTTGACTCCCTCCACCATTGTTTATTCCCCCCACACTTTTAGTTTGGTAGGAAAAAAACCCCAGTTTCTGTATTTTGGAACAGTGACTGAACTCCCTATCGCTGAAAGGTTTCTGGTGGAAAATAACTCAGAGATCAGAATCCAGCCTCCTCGAAAAAGTAAAGGCCTAGGTAGTAACTTGCTCAACATTACACTATCAGTTTTTGGTAGAATTAACTACCTTAATTTGTTAGAATTGAGACTAACACCCAAATTCTTAATTCTAACTATGCCTTGTAGCTTCTAAATGATCCCACACTGGGTTTTTCAAGGTCTTCCTCCTCCCCAATCACTTAACTACTCAGAAACATCTTTTCTGAACTCACAACATTTAATTATTATGTACCATCCTACAAATTATTTTTCATTATTGTCACACATTGTTTTAAGTTTAGAGTCATACTTCTGGAATGAAAACTATGACTCATTTCATAAGTTGAACCAATCATCTCGTTTCTTTATAGTTGCCTCCCCGCCTGTATTTTAAGCTCCTTGAAGATAAGACACATGCCTTACATTTCTTAACTCTTAAGTAGTATTCAACGTAATTAATATGACATTTGATACATACTAGTGTAATTAACTGTTCATAATAAGATTGATAAGATTAAGTCTTGAATATGCTGAAGAAGAGCTCTATATGAAGCCACTGTCAGTGCTGACAAAAAAAAAACTTTTTTACTTTAAAAATCTATTTTATAATACATTTACAAATTCAAAAAAGTGCATGATTAAAAGAATAGGAAATACATCAGAATTCAGAAAACATACTACTTTACAACCAAACCTAAACATTTTGAAAAGGTATCTAGAGGACCCCCATAAATTTAGTAATATGAGATTTTATATAATGGATTAAAAAATCAGTTGTGGCAGCCGTTTGACCTCATCAGTTCTTTGTTCTTAAAATAGCTGACATTTCTGCATCATTAGGGAAAGACAATGTTGTCACACAAAACAGACTATTTTTAAAGATGTGCTTTGGCTTGCAAAGGCGTGACATGCCTAAAATATGAAAGTGATATGGACTGGTAAACGTGTCACACATTGGGTCTCAACCTCTTGCTGCAAGTCCTTGAGTACATTTAAGAGATGGAGGAATAATATACTCTATAACTCTTTGTTGTTTTTAAAGACAGCACTTACAACAAACAGGAAAGTACAACCCTATGTAGTTTAGATATGAATGGGATTTACTACCTCCAAAGGTGTTATAGAATGAAAATATGCATTTATGAATGGTTTAAGTCATGAAAGGCAGCATCCTAAAAGTTGATTAAAGAATTCTAGGAAATTTGGGAGCAGCATATATCATAACTTCTGTGCTGTGTAGGATATATCTTTTCAACAATATATTCCAGTTGCCATATGGTGCTATATTGGATGGACTGGAATTTGTGACTATCCTTTGTGGAATTTCCTATTAAAATCTGAAAACAGATTTAGCTTTTAAAAATTTGAGGCAGAGCTTTTCTGATCATTCCATAATTGTATTTAGTCTGGACGATGTGGTTATAATCAAGGAAATAATGTAAGAAATTACTTTTAAACACATCGGAAACATATTCTTAGGGTCACTGTGGAGTGCTGAGATCTAGGTGGTAGTTCATTCTTTGCAGTCCACAGACTTATTTTTAGAGCAGTGGCATAGTGTTTTGCCAGATCATAGCTAAATGTTTTCAGAACGTAAGCTTTAAAATTGTTATCCTGGTCAGAGTGAAATCAGTAGTGCCTATTTTAGACCTGCTTGGAAGAATATAACTCAATGCAGTGTCTTACTTTTGCTGCTGAGCGGTTTTGCAGACTACCATCTTCACTGCAACTCTGAACGATGGTATGGTAGAATTTTATTGTCTGATGACTATGGAACTTCAAACAAATTTTTGTAGTTTTTAAAAAAGATTGAGTATTGAAAGGAAAGTTGCCTTTTTATTTTAGGTATTACTAGACATTCTTTTTAATTTTAACTTAAATTTTACTGGGATAAATTTAGATAAGAGAGCAAAGGTAGTTTCTACCTTTAAGATGTTTTCTAAAACATTTAAATTATTTTAAAAGCTTGTACTCTGATTTCTGTTTAGAGGTCTTAGATACTTCCAGTGATTTAGTGTGACTGTAATACAAGAAACTGGTTTGGATAGAGTGTAATGTCTATAAAAACTGTAGATGAATTCCCCTCAGTTTTTTTAGCCTTTACTGTTAGCCTTTCAACAAATAGTTTTCTTGAACTACTTTTGCCTAGAGGTGAGGGTACAATAAAAAATGTTAGTTGAAAGTGGAAGAACAATATTTGTCAATAGAGATTAGGAGATGAAGACCTGTTCCATCAGTTAGTCGTTCTTACTGTTCCTCACCTTTCTGTCCACCGTACTATGGAATAGCCAATTTAGGCTAAGGCTGCAAAGGGTGGACCTACTGAAGATGAGTTAGTATCCCTCAGCACCCCCATAGTGCTGAAGTATAGAACTTGGGAGTTTCCTAGGTAACTAATTTTTTTTGATGCTTGGTTTTTTATTGTTATCAAATTAGCAGATTTGGTTATCAGCTGTTGTTAGCTATATAGCAGTACAGGTCATATGTAATCTTGTTGACATGTGTCTTCTAAAGACACATTTCTGAGTCGCTCAAACATATCAGGAAGGCTGATTCTGTGTACTTTTGTTAATCATTGTTTTGATTCAAACTTAAGTAATCTTAGATGTTGATTTAGTTTTTATTGTATTTCCTTTCCTAATTAGGATTTAACCACCACCATGTCAAGCAAAAGAGCAAAGACCAAGACCAAGAAGCGCCCTCAGCGCGCAACATCCAATGTGTTTGCCATGTTTGACCAGTCACAGATTCAGGAGTTCAAAGAGGCCTTCAACATGATTGATCAGAACAGGGATGGTTTCATCGACAAGGAAGATTTGCATGATATGCTTGCTTCATTGGGTAATGCTCAGTTTAAATATTAATCTATTGGATAGAATTTCCACGGTGCCTTTCATGTTGATTTCATGAGTCTTAAAGCTCTGTAAAGCCTGTCTAATGGTTTGAGTAAAGTGTGGAACGGTGTTTCCCACCGAACCACCAGCAGATTCCTGACCCTGTCTTAGGATTGGGTTGGGGTTCGTGTGTGTGTGTATGAAAACACTAATCTAGATTATGGAAGCAGTATTATTCCTTCTGACATTCCAATGGAATATCATATACTCTCCAGACTCTTTAATAGGCCCTATTCATTAAGAAAACTTTCCCCCCCAAGTAGTTTTGCTGTCATGAGTGCAAGCAGTAAACTGTATGAATGATAATCTTTCTTACCAAAATGTTTACTGTCATTAATAGTTGATATGTATTATAATGTAATTAAAATTATGACCCCTTTTAAAAATTTAGGGAAGAATCCAACTGATGAGTATCTGGATGCCATGATGAATGAGGCTCCAGGCCCCATCAATTTCACCATGTTCCTTACCATGTTTGGTGAGAAGTTAAATGGCACGGATCCTGAAGATGTCATCAGAAATGCTTTTGCTTGCTTTGATGAAGAAGCAACTGGTAAGTGAGAGGTAACCTTTAATTACAAAGTGATTTAATTTTTAGTTATGGTAACTAAAATATACAGTGACTTAAAAGAGGATAACACCGTCAGGTTTATACTACACCTGTGTTTTTAAACAGAGTTCTCTTGGCATGTTTGTCACTCATGCTCTGCTTCTGCCCTAAGTAGTAGTTCACAACGAATAGGTTGTATTTGAAACCTCTTTGGGAAACTTGTATTACCCCTTTCCTAGCATGTTAACTCCACAAGGGTTAGGCTATCAGAAAATATGTATTGAATAAAAAACTTTTAACAGAATAATCTTGATGAAGTATAAATTGTTATAGGCTGTGGCACCACTACAATCCTGTGTGTGTTTACCAGGTATCTGTCAGCTCTCAAATTGTTTAAATCTGACATTTAACCTCTATTTTAAAATACACCCAGTAGAACTTAGGGTCTGGAATTAGACTATCTGGCTTCATATTCCTCTTCTACATAATAGCTGTGTAATTTGGGGCAAGTTGCTTGACTTTCTCTAAGCCTCTGTCTTCTTATTTGTAAAATGGGCAGTATTACCTACCTCACAGGGTGGTTGTGAGAAGTAAATGAAGTGAGATGTACATGAAGTACTTAGCATACTGTGTGGCATAGAGTTAACTCTCAAAAAAACAAAATGTTAACTATATAGGGGCCTGATCCTTTGGCGGAAGTGTAAAACATAATGAGGGAATATTTTCCATGACACCCAACTCAACATGGCGTAGCCAAGTGTGTTTAGTGAAGGAAGGCACAATCTTGGGTTGCCTGCATTAGTGGGACTAGTTTAAATACTGCGTGGTTGCCAGGGCCTGCTGATGGAAGCATGGGCTGTGGCTTTCAAGGCTCCCCACATGTCCATGCCAGTTATTTGGGAAATCTTAAAAATACCAATACCAGAAAATCTTCGGTGACATCTGATTCTTGTAGGCAGGCAGGTTTTATGAGAACCCTGGTATCAAATTCCCAAAGAGCACACCTTTCATTTTACCACTGCACACCCCCACTGCCTAGCACAGTGCCTGCCACATAGTTAGTGCTCAAATATTTATTCCATGTTTTTGCATGTGCTGGGACTGGCCATATTTGTTATAATAATTGGATTTGTAAACAGTAAAAATCTCATTTTACATCTGAGAAAACCAAAGGTCAGGGATAAAGTGAAATGCCTGAAATAAAATAGCTTGTTAAAACTGGGCCTCAAGTTTCCAATATTCTTTCCACTGTACCACTTTATTGATGTGTATGATGTAGTGTTGATTTTAGCATGGCAGGTCAATGTTATTTGCTTGTAGAATAACACATGACCATTCATGCCACTTTAAGGAACCATAAGGCTAGATTCTTTAACCATACTTTTTATTACTTTGTTTAGGCATAGGTTTAGTCTATTATCAAGAGATCAGAAGCTGAATGTGGAGGCAGAATGATAGAGCAGAATGACGCTGCTAAGCATCTGGGCATTTTTCTAGGCACTTCCCTGCTGAGGCTGTTTTAAGTAGGTGGACACCCTGGAGTTCACATATTTGCATGTTTATAGTTTTTAACATACAGAACATGCTTAGTCGAGTATAGATATTCTTTGTGATTGACCCTCAGAGTAGTATGTATTCTGATCCCTTGTTCTGTATTCTCCAGGCACCATTCAGGAAGATTACCTGAGAGAGCTGCTGACAACCATGGGGGATCGGTTTACAGATGAAGAAGTGGATGAGCTGTACAGAGAAGCACCTATTGACAAAAAGGGGAATTTCAATTACATCGAGTTCACGCGCATCCTGAAACACGGAGCAAAAGACAAAGATGACTGAAAGAATTTCAAATTCCAGCCAAACGTTCCTTGTTGCCACTTTGGGTATTTTTGAGATTTTCTCTTGCATGCCCTTAGCTTTACAGCTTTTGCATTTCCTGTTGTATTTATTCTCAGCCATTTTGGGCATATGTATCTTTATACTCAGACTGGAAAAGGGACTTTCTATTGATATCATTTTCAGAATAGAAAATAGGGTAATTTAACCTACCAGCCCTTTCCCCCAATAACTGTGGTCTATACAGAGTCAATATATTTTTTTCAGAGAAAGTTATTTGCTCGATTTTTTCTGAATCATAATTAAACTTTATGATAAAACACTTACTTGTTTAAACTTCTTATTTACCAAACTGGGCCTTTGTTGGTTTTAGTTGTATCTTCCAAAGAAAGGTAGATGAGGGAAATCCTAGAAAATGATATGGTTGTTAGCTTTCTCTTCCTCCAATTTTCCTAACAATCCTATCTCCTCTTCTATCCATTCCTCCTCCTCCTCCCAAGGATATCCAATTTTAACTGCCCTAATCAGGTTTTCTGCACTTTGTCTTCCAATTCTTAAAATAATTTGCTGTAGAATTGGCATACATATGATAGTTTCCGTAGCTTTAAGTTCTTAAGTTGACATACCTGCCAACATTTCTGCTTTATTTAAACTTTTGTAATTTCTGATTATTTAAAATTAGACCAGGTCACTGAGTGTAATTTCAATTTTTCATATTTTTAAAAACCATTTTGGCTTAAAGGTTCTGTGGAATGCTACCAAAGAGAGATTTTTTAATGTTATGTTTTAAAGTGCTGGAAATACAATGCAGTATTTTTTTATTATATGTAGTTCTTCTTTAACACAACAATGCCTATTGAAAGATATTTATGCAGAGATTCACCACGAGTCCATGTATGAGTTTTGGACATTCCTGACCTTCCCACAATCAAAACAGCTGAACCTACATGCCTGGGAAAGTGAGGTCATTATTTCAGTCCTAAAAATAACTTCTACTATTTGCAGAAATGCAGAACTGTTTCATAGTTAATCAGGGAGTGGCAGACAGTTTCATTCTTTTTCAGCTTTAAAAATCTGACTCTCAAAGGGCTTCAGGATTCTCTTTTTTTTTCCAGACAGGGTCTCTCGCTCTATCATGCAGGCTGGAGTGCAGTGGCACGATCACAGCTCACTACAGCCTTGACCTCCTGGGCTCAAGTGATCCACCTGAGTAGTTGGGACTACAAGCATGCACCACCGTGCCTGGCTAATTTCTCAATTTGTTGTAGAGACAGGGTCTCATTATGTTGCCCAGGCTGGTCTCAAACTCCTGTACTCAAGTGATCTTCCCACCTCTGCCTCCCAAAGTGCTGGGATTACAGGTCTGAGCAACCATGGCCAGCCCAAAACTCCCACTCTCAAAGATTCATGAGTTTTAAAATATTTGAAACGGAGAAAAATTTGGTTGAAAAGAGTTGACAATTAGCCCATGAAGATGAGTAACTGGCAATTACTGTAATAACTTCAAGTTTTATGCTATGATTATCATGACTCTCCTTGGACAAAACCATTACCTCATTCGGTAAACAATTACTAAAAGCCTTCTGGGCAGCAGGCCTTTGCAGCCAATAAGATCAGCTAGATCCTGTAACCTGAGAAGGCCAACGCTATAGGAATAGATGGACTAGTCAAAGCTAGTTCTTGTCCTCTTCAACATTAGAATCTTAGAACCTGCCTTCATTCTTTGTCTTTTGTTACTGAATTTTATTCACTGGTTAAGCCAAAATACTTTTTCCAGGCTATGGCCATGGTGCTAAAATCTTGTTTTTTGAACTGAATTTCCATGTCAAGAGAAAAAATTATCATATGCTTTGTTAAATCTCCAGTGAAGAACAGATAACATTGTTTCCACTATATGAAATACAAGGTACTACTAAAATGATCTCTTGCAGGGTTCCTGTTTCCCTTTCAGATAACTGCCCAAAGAACCAACTTGCATTAAGAACAATGATGTACCCTGAATGAAATAATTCTCCTAATTTAGTAATACCATTCTTTGCTTAAACAAGAATGATTGCCAATAGAAAGGTAAAAGTATCCATTTCAATGGTGTGTTTGACTGAAAAATCAGTCTCAAAAGTTTCCATGATGAAAGTCAAACTTGAAACAAACCATTTCAAAAGATCTGGCTAGGCATGTTGGCTCACATCTGTAATCCCAGCACTTTGGAAGGTCGAAGTAGGAAGACTGCTTGAAGCCAGAAGTTTGACATTAGCCTGGGCAACAAAGCAAAACCCCATCTCTACATAAAAATTTAAAAAAAAAAAATTAGCCGGATATGGTGGCGGGTGCCTATAATCCCAGCTACTCCGAAAGCTAAGGTGGAAGGATTGCTTGAGCCCAGGAGTCCGAGGCTGGAGTAAACTGATTGTGCCACTGCACTCCAGCCTGGGGTGACAGCGAGACCCTGTCTTTAAAAAAAAAAAAAAAAAAAAAAACGGACAAAACCAACCTAATGGGGGTGGCATCCTTATCTACCTGCATATGATATGGTCATTTGGATTCCAGGCCCCAAATTTTACTTGATGAAAGAACCTATGACTTGAGAGCAGGAATTGAATGCTCGTGGGAAAGAAAGGAGGAAGGCCTGAGCATAAGAGACAAGTAAAAGCAAATTGAGAAGGAAAGGAAACCATTTGCTACAAAGTGAAAAGAGGAAGGACAGCAAGAGGTTTAACACCTAGACTTGAGGATCAGATAAAAAAATGATCAGAGTTTGGAGAGGTAAATGGAGCCACAGAAACAGTTTTACGGAAACCTAGTTAATGTCAAGAGTAAGGAGGTTAGTAGTGTCCAACACAGAACAGTGGAGTATGGGAAGGTTTAAATGAGACGCCCCCAGATTTGACAAGTCCTTAGTCATGTTTGCTTACCTTTTCTGTCCAGAAAGCGATTGTTGTAGCTAATCCCGCACTGAAGAAATGCCCAGTTTTCCCCGTGCTGCTTATTCCATTTTCACTCGCTCTTCCATCTTCCAAGTCCCTGTATCTTTTTAGTCTAGATTTCTCTGTGTCTGCTCAAATAGCAGGAATTGTGACTTCTCCAATGTTTATCCACATACATTTTAGAGTTGTAATGAGTTTACAACTTTTTTCATTTACTAAAATTGTATCTCATGTTTTGGCATAGCCACTGTTGTTTTGAGTATACTGCTTTTTCAACCATTCTTAACTTCAATTATCTTTGACGTGGGTATGCTATAATTAACAATTTTCCAATGATAGATATTTAGCTATTCAGCTATTTTTATTAGTGAATACATTTTTATTAATGATTAAATAAAGCCTATATAGGCTTTTCTTTTGCATCTAGAGAGAACAATGTACCTTAGAAGTATTTCTTCAGAATAGTGCTGTCAAATAGAAGCTTCTGTAATTATGGAAATGCTCTCTGTGCCATACAATAAGGACACTAACCACATGTGGCTATTGAGCACTTAAAATGTGTCTAATACTGGCCGGACGCGGTGGCTCACGACTGTAATCCCAGCACTTTTGGAGGCCGAGGCGTGTGGATCACAAGGACAAGAGACTGAGACCATCCTGGCCAACACGGTGAAAACCCGTCTCTACTAAAAATACAAAAATTAGATGGGCGTCGTGGCACACGCCTGTAGTCCCTGCTACTCGGGAGGCTAAGGCAGGAGAATCGCATGAACCCGGGAGGCAGAGGTTGCACTGAGTCGAGATCGAGCCACTGCACTCCAGCCTGGGCAACAGAGCAAGACTGTTTCAAAAAACAAAAATGTGTCTAACACTGCCAGACGCACTGGTGCGGTGTCTCTCACCTGTAGTCCCAACTACTTGAGAGGCTCAGGTGAGAGGATCGCTTGAGCCCAGGAGTTCCAGGTTGTAGTGCATTATGATCACACCTGTGAACAGCCACTGCATTCCAGGTATCAAACGTTATCAAATACAACTGAGGAACTGAATTTAAGTTTAGCCACGTGTGGTTAGTGACGATTGTATTGGACAGCACAATTCTAGAAACTTACATTTTTTAATTATTTAAACTATCGAACCAAAACCTAGACTACAGTTAAGGAAAGGGTAAATATTGTAGAACCAGGTGTGACTTTTCAGCAATTGCTTTTCTAACACTATTGAGAAAATACATACAGTCATGAACTGGATTTAGAGCTGTGCTGCTGGGATGAGGACCACCGCATCAGCATCATGTGTGCTTACCAGAAATTGGAATTATCCTCCACCCCTTACTCACTGAATCCTAATACCCGGTTTTGAGGCTCAAAAATGTTTTTTAAAGTCTTGTTATTAGGCGTGCTACTGTTTAAGAACTGCTATAGAGTGCTGAACACAAGCTCCCTCCCTTCTAGGAATTTCTGAGCAAAGATTTCTAGAATATAAACTCCCTAAGAGGCTTTGAATTCATCTCTCAGCATGCAGCACATGTTAAGGCAGTAAGAAGAGTTCAATAAAGATTTGCTATTAGATTGCCAATCCTCCACCATCCTGAAGTAATGCTATTTTAGTAATGCTAGATGAAGTAATGCCAGATTACCTCAAGGTGAGGGAAAATATCTTGAAGAACACAGCCACAAATACGATCTAGAGCAAAACCTGAAAAACGTAGCTTCTTGTTTTTCTTCTTCTTCTTCCTTTTTGTGGAGAACGGTCTCGCTATATTGCCCAGGCAGGTCTCGAACTCCTGGGCTCAAGCTATCCTCCCGCCTCTGCCTCCGTGAGAGCTCGCATTACAGGCGTGAGCCATCGCGCCCGGCCGCTTCGTGTTTTTCTTTGTGTGTGCATGTATGTGTGTGCGTTGCCATTTTCTTGATAAAGTTAAGAAAGTAGTTTGAATAAAACTTTCTTGTGGCTAAAGGAGGAATGAAACAGCCATAGGCTGTGGCCGTAGCCTCATAAGGCCGTAAACCTTATGAGGGTAAGCAGAGAGGAGTAGGTTAAAGGATTTAACTCGGGCTGGAATGCGGTTTGAAAAGAGAAGGATTCTGGAGCGGAAAAGAATCCGCCCAGGCGCCGCCCTCACCTTCTCAGCATTACATGGGACGAACCCTAAAACCTGTCTTGTCTGAAATTCAAATTTAGAAGAACTGTACTTTTACTTTCTAAATCTGGCAACTCAGGGTTCGGCGCCAGGGGACCCCAAATCCTCGGCGGATCGCGCCCCGCCTGGGTCAAAGGGTACCCCAAATCCTCCGCTGACCGCGGCCCGCTCGGGTCAAATTCCAGCGCCCGGCCCAGCCGCGCCCA